AAATCCACGTTGAAATAACATTGATCGTGGTATCATCGTACTGCCGATTCCTAATTAACATCTCCATTATCGTCTAAACGTTTCAACATTCATGTATCTTATTTTGTGTGTATGTATGTATAAGCATTGACATGATAAGGGGGGATACACCGAATGTTTGCTGAATACATTAAATAGACAAAGGGGATAGAATTTCAGTGTACTTTGGACTTATATTGAAACAAATATGTCGTTTGAATATATGAAGTTTTAATGAACTTATTGAAATGGTTTACTCTATGACACAAGCAATAAATTTATTTTTGAAAGTTGTCGAGGTGTAACATCCCCTAGGTGACGATTTTGTTCATCTGTCAATTGCAGAGATGTTTGACTAACATGCTCCATGTTGGTTGTGTGTGCACATCGCCACATATATATATACTTTATTTCCCCCATTGTCATGAAGAGCAGTACACAAACTGAACAACAAAATACAAAATAGTCAGTCAGTCATAAGACTGGGATATACAAGGATATTGCAGACATACATTTCAGGATACACTTGATACTGATATAATGACTAGTTGGAGTCTGGACATATATATGGTCTACATTTGTGAACAAATTCAGAAAGTTTTAGGATTACTTGAATCCAAATCTGAAAATCCAAATGATTAAGTTCATACATGTGCAATGAGTTTGCGTTTCTTATATCTTGTGTCCATTCTTGGTAGTTCATGTCTTTACAAGATGTTTGACTAACATGCTCCATGTTGGCTGTGTGTGACTCCATATCAGTATCCCATCCATAAGTTTGAACGGCATTGACAAGATGGATCGCAAAAGTAGGCACATCGCCACATATATCTTCAACAGACGTGTGTCCAGAGTTCGCATTGTTCGGGATACTAAGACAGCTTTGTTTTGTCATTTAAGACGGCCTTCAGCGTTACGTGTGCTGAAGGTACTGTCAGGCCTCGAGTTGGGGAATTAGCTGTTCGGAGCAAGCCTTGGAACCAGAAAGGAGAGAGCTGTGAGTTATTTGGGTTTGTTATAGCGTCTAACTCAGGACAGCCATCGTCCACATATTTCTAAAGACCAAAAACTATGTAGCCAAGCCATGTGACACTTAAATGACAATTAGGGGCGGTGGGGTAGCCTAGTGGTTAAAGCGTTGGCTCGTCACGCCCAAGACCCGCGGATAATTTAATCATCATCGACAATTGCAGAGGACAAGTAAGAGGCACTCCTGACAATTCAATTACGGCATCTATTGCCTAGTTCGTTAACTACTGTTAGAATCTGACTATTACGGTATGTCGCGCCTAATGCGTTAATGAGGGTAAGGATTTATAACTATTACGGTATGTCGCGCCTAATGTGTTAACTATGGTAAGGGGTTATGCCAATTGCGTTATATAGCGCCTATTGCGTAAATATAACTTCGGTAGGGATTTATGACTATTACGGTATGTCGCGATTAATGCATTAACTACGGTAAGGATTTACAACTAGCGTAAGTAAATTTCAGTTATCAAAATATATGCATTCATTGAGCAAATACGGTAAACGGCGCGAAGTGCTCAGATTGGACAGATGCCAATTTAACTCCTGTACGCATTCTTACTGTAATGTTAGCATTTATTTTCTCAATACAATAATTTCGGTAGATACGGTAGGAGGTAATAGAAAATGATATATAAGTATGTAACAACGGGGACAAAAGATATAGTTTTAGTTAGAGTATTACTACTTTGCTTAATCATGGATTATTTGGGTGACTACGGTAAATGCGTTTCGACGGTGATGTTGCTATGGGCAACGTGCAATTTAGATAAATACGGAGTTAACCAATAACGTAGAATACATGTAATACTGTAATGCTATACTTAAACAAAAGATGTCGAAAGGTACATTTTTGTTCTTTACAAAACAAGACAATAACTATGACTATGTGGATGTACTAGGACTACTTAAACTATACGGGTTGGAATGTATATTTTCGGGTAATATGAAAAGAAGACAATGCCATTTTCATGTGATTACGGTAATGTGATTTGCGTATAAACTGTTCTGTACAGTATACAACTGCACGGGGAAGGGAACATTTTATATCATTATTCCAATATTTATTCATGTTAGTGAAATATCAAAATACAAATGGTTGTTGTAACCTATTCTGTGAGCGCGTATCTGAGGTAAATCAACTCGAATATTAATTGATCGACAGACTATCGTAAAATACGGAATAACTGACCTACATACAACTTCATCACTGCTCGAAATAATTGTGTAAACTCACGGAACTGTTTTTGTGACTAAGCTACTGGAATCTAGGCTACTGAACGAGAATCTAATCTGCATATACAGATCTAACACGCAAATGAATATATCTAGACAAGGACTGGGGATTGTTTGAAAATATTTTATTCAGTGTTGAAATTGTTTGGGCACAAGCTATGTAACTTATTACCGCCCGCTCCCATCAGAAACATGAACAATAATGAATGGACGTAATGAATGGACATGATAATATTAAGACATATGATTCATTAATCGAGGCGCTTACCTCATACAATGTATTATGCACATGTCTAAAGATATTTCATTAATAGTATTTGGCAGAGCAGGGTTTCCGTAAAGAATGGTAGCAATGTCTAAGTGAACTTTTGATAGTTCAAAGTCTTGCTTCAGATCAAAACGGCAACTGACAAATTTTGGACATTTTAAAAAGAAATGGTTAGCATCTTCCACCGGAGCACCACAATTGCAAGCTCTACTCTCTGATAGATTAACACGAAACAGATCTGCATGTAATGAACTACACGAATGTCTTAACTTCGTGTGTCGTATATTTGTCTTTCTTTCACCAAATAGAAAATATACTAGCTACATAAAGAAACTGTGCATTGTCAAAATATTATCTCAGTTGATAGTACGATAACAATGTCAAAGGTACATATAAACTTTAATGGAGGGATCATGAGACCATAACAAGTCGGGAGAATTTCAATTGAAAAGTCAATCACAATGACGTCACGAGTCCACAAGCGGGACAGGGGTCAAACGACCATGTCACAAGCTCAATAACGGGTATGTCCACCATCGGCATTGAGAACAGCAGTGCATCGACGACGCATAGAGCCTATCAAAGTGCAAGGAAAGCTTGTGGGATGTCAGGCCAGATTCTCTCAAGTTCTGTTGCAAGGTCAAGGACGTTATCTGGCGGATGAGGAAGACGGCGTAGACGTCTATCCATCTAGTCCCAAACATGCTCTATCGGGGAGAGATCCGGTGAATTTGCAGGCCAAGGCAGTCAACGTCAACGTTGTGGTGTTGCAAGAAATCCATAGCAACCCTTGCCGTATGAGGGCGGGCATTGTCCTGTTGGAATGTTAACCCAGGGCCATGACGTTGCAGAAAAGGAATTGCCACAGGTCGAAGAATCTGATCCCTGTAGCCCACACCAGTTAAGTTGCCCTGAACAATCACCAAAGGAGTTCTTTAGCGTGCTGTTATTCCACCCCAAATCATCACGGAACCACCACCAAAGCGATTCCTCTCCAAGACACAGGCCTGTGCATAACGTTCTCCCACGCGTCTATAGGCACGTTGACGTCCATCACTACTGGAAATGTTAAACCTGGACTCATCTGTAAAAACAACATTTCTCCACCAAAACAAGGGTCTGCGGACATGATTTCGGCACCACATTCGGCGAGCTTGTCGATGACGTTGTTTAAGAAATACACTTCGCTCTACCACCATGTATAGTGTAATAAAACACACTTTTGCCCTGAACTATTATAGTTAAAGCACGAGGACCCTTGCGTCCGAGTGCTTTAACGTTATAATAGTTCAGGGCGAAAGTGTTTTATTACACTATACATGGTGGAAGGGCGAAGTGCATTTCTTTTCTAAGATGCCAAATTTAATACTTTCTAAAGATAATTACGATTAATTTAAGGCAGAAAACAAACGACGGTGTCGGTGACCTAAATTAAGAATCCTCGCACAGGGCTAACTGGCGCGCTGTTCTATTGATGTGTCTGCCCCCTACGTTAAGACGAACGTTACCAGAAAAAAACAAATAACAGTTTGATGACGGTTTACGTTCGGATTAAATATCTTCTCTGAATTATTTTAATTACATCTGTCATTAACGTAAACCATATGAGGCAATATGAACGTTGCATTTCTACTACCAGCGTAAGTTTAGATCAGTACATCCAGAGGAAGTTGAGTAGTCAAGCGACATTCCACAATTGCATTGTGGGAATGTAAACATTACGAACGTTTCCGTGTCGCTGAAAACTTGTGAGTCGAAATGACACATTTTAACCGTCGTAAAACATAAACGTAATGTTTCCGCCAGTGATGTTAGCTGCGTGAAGCAACAGCAAACCAAGAAACTGGATGCAACGGTGTAGTGTACTGTAGGAGGCCGTACGAGGCGATGACAACTGACATGCATCGTGACGTCGCTTACATTGTGACGTAATGTAAAATGGTTCGATTACGAGGGGGCACACTAGAATGGCGCAGTGACGGGATAACGTCATTCAATTGTTACGTCATCAAAAAACTATACCTTTATTGTGGATGCAACGGTGTAGTTTACTGTAGGAGGCCGAACGAGGCGATGACAACTGACATGCATCGTGACGTCGCTTACATTGTGACGTAATGTAAAATGGTTCGATTACGAGGGGGCACACTAGAATGGCGCAGTGACGGGATAACGTCATTCAATTGTTACGTCATCAAAAAACTATACCTTTATTGTCTGATAATGTTTGTTTTTTTCGATTGTTCTAACCGCTAGGCATCTTAGAAGTCTGGGCCCACTTGCACAAAACGATTGTATCTCTAAAATAGTCGTAACTCTGATTGTAAGGTAATTGTAGGGTCACCCGCCTCTTGCACAAAGCGATCGTAAGCCTACAATAGTTGTAAGTTACAATTGAAACCTACAATAGCCCACTACCTATTGTAAGTGCCTACAATCGATGGTAAAAATGGCGTCGTACGTGGCTGCCGAAGAAGTCTCAGAAAAGATGAAACGCATTTTTAGAGATAGAACATCACAATTGGAGTTATTGACGGAAGGTGAACTCATTTCAAGGTATAGGTTGCCTCGGCATGCCATATTCTCACTTTTGGAGAAAGTTCGGCCACACATCGAACATGGAACCAAGCGTTCACATGCCATTTCCCCTGAAACTCAGTTGCTGGTTACACTTCGTTACCTGAGTAAAGACGGTTTTTTAATGGAAATAGGTGATCTACATGGCGTTCACGAGTCCTCTGTGTCTCGCTCCGTCCATCGGACAATCCGTGCCATAAACAACGTTCTGGACATCAAGTTCAATCCTGACGCAAATAAAGTTAGAATGCAAGACTTCTACAAAATAGCTGAATTCCCCTGTGTTATTGGGGCAATTGATGGTACACTTATTCCCATTAAACGACCACCTGCAGACGAAGAAGTGGCCTACGTTTGTCGGAAAGGCTTCCACGCCATAAATGTTCAAGCCGTATGTGACGCCAACTTGAGGTAAGCTTAATTTCAGAGTAGCTTCCCTTGTATCTAAATATAGAATAAGGGAGTTAATGTTGTTCACGATTTGATCACATAATACTGAAATGTTACGATATAAAAGAATTGTAAACACCACTTTCGTTATTATGAGACATATGGGAAAGAATAAAGTTTCATATATACAAAGAATAAGTGGGAATAATAGAGTCAAAGCTAAAACGGCTGTAGGTGAATACTGGTACCTAATATACCAGGGAGACTATATATGTTGTAGAGTATCCCTGCTAGTACGTACTCGTCTCCACTCCGAATTCGTACCCAAAACGAACTCGTACCTAAATAAACAATAATTCTTTATTCCTTTTTATTTAAGATGTATCCCAATTTAAGCACATACCTTAGATAGATAAATAAAAAAACACACATACACACGTGTAAAATCACATCAGATAATTATTAAATATTGATGACAAAGCACATTGAAGCTGGTGATTTTGCAATAATTTCAAAGAGATATCAAAATACTTTTTATTTTCAAGCAGTTGTTCAAACTAGTGGTCCCTTAAGTTAAAATAAAGTCAACTGAAACGAAAATAATAATTAATGTTTATATAAGCTTCGGTTTATTGTCCCTTTTCTTATCAATGTATAATTTTTTTATTGTGAATTTGATAACCTATAGACTAAGTGATATGCAATATTTATCAAAATTATCAAATGTATGAAGTTAATGTCTCAAGTACGATATAAAATGAAAACAATGAATAAAAGTTTATAACTTTCAGAATAGTTTGCTGATACTCCCTGACTAGAAAGTGCCCACGAAATCACTCTTCAATTTGGTTACGAATCCACTCAAATTTGTGGGTATGAGTTCGTTTTGGGTACGAATTCATCGCCTCGCATTGATGTATGTATTTATATAGCATACGTTGATAACTTTTGATTATATCTCTGCAAACTGTAATATCTAATATTACATTTACAAACTCCTGTGAAACTTGTTTTCTTTTAATTAAAACAGATTTATCAACACTGTCATCAGATGGCCAGGATCCTGTCATGATTCCATGATTTTCAGCAACAGTTCACTGGGACAGTACCTGGAATTGGGAAATGTTGATGGCTGGCTTTTGGGTGATTCCGGGTATGTCTTATTCAATTTCTCCATTTTTATTTACGAAAATCAGTGTGTAAATACTTACCTAAAGCTTATATGTTGACTATGGTCACTATTACACGGGAGTAAGCGCAGTAGATGGAACAGTGAAACAAATGCACGTGCGGTACGTGATGAGCCTTAACTTAAACCAACCCTACTTGTTCTGGTTGTTTCATTTAAAGTGCATACCACCTTGTGATACAAACCAATAATAGCGATTTGAAACTATGATCGTTTATAAACAACTTTTATCCTGAGTTGAATAAGTTCTAAGATTTGAATGTTCAATTGGCAAGGGAATTTTATGAGGATTCCCAAACTTAATTTCACTTTATTAGATTTACCTTGTCGTTTAGAGTTAAATTCATCAGTACGTTTTCACTGCAAACAGACTATAGTTAGTATAACACTCTTTTTGTCAAAGCATGAATAAGAAATGAATAAACTTACCAAAGTAAATTGACAATTTGGTCCACCTTAATGAATTTCTTAGTATCATGAACTTAATTTATCAATTTCCTTTATTAAAGGTATCCATGCAGGCCTTATATTTTGACACCACTCCTTAATCCAGAATCAAAATCAGAAGTCAAGTACAATTCTGCACATTGCAAAACAAGAAACACCATTGAAAGGGCATTTGGTGTACTGAAATCACGTTTTCGGTATGTATTTTTGTTACTTAAATTTATGTTATAAGTGTACTGTTAGGTATTGGAATAACAAACAAACAAAATCCATAAAATATCCATACAATTTCAATGTTTTTATGACAAATAGAATTAATTTGTATTCAGATGCCTTCACAAGTCCACTGGGTGCCTGTAATTCTCACCTGAAAAGTGCAATGCAGTTATAATGGCAGCATTCAAACTGCACAATTTCTGCAAAGACAATAATTTGCCAGATCCACCCATGATAATGTCTGAAACAGACAACTCCACAGACTACTCTGTTGATACGGTTCTTGCAGATGGAGTCTCAATAAGGAGAGAGCTGATTGCTAAACGATTTTCATAGGTAGGTACAAAAGCATTTGCACCGAATACATACAAAAGTACAAAGGAAGTGAAATTTAATTATTTATTCATAACTCTTTTTCCCAACATGAACATAGAATATTCATCTGTTGACAACTCTTAAACCACACCAGATTATCAACACTGATCAAATTTCTCTGTGGTAAAAAATTTACATAAATCTCTAACATACTACCTGACAAAAATGTTCACTAACAAACATCATTCACTATATCCCAATGATTACTGGTAATTGTGACAAAGCTTTTCTTTAACAATATCTTTATTTTGCAATAACTACATTTTTTATCAATATCATTACAAAATGAACTTTACTCAATTGGACATGAATAATGCATCCATAAAGTGAATACAAAGGCATTATTATTAAGACGTGTGAGCTTCAGTTCTGAGTAAATTTCCTTTCAGAAAATTAAAAAGATGCAATTTATTTTTTCTTTGCATACATTCATGTCAATACCTTTTTTAAAATTTATTTTTATTCATTTCAGATAGGTATACAAAGACAGGGAGTACACAACTCCATGTTATGGCTTGTTACATTTTGGCAACAAAGAGTTACAAATTTTCAAAGTAAGAAAATATAGTTACTAGTATACAAAGTCAGGGAGTGCACGACTCCAGCAGCAAACTTCATGGGTTACAGGCATGCTCGAGCTAGTTATACATCAGCAACACAGATTTACCAATTTCTAAATGTGGAAACATAGGTACATAAAGTCAGGGAGTGAACCACTCAAGCAACAGTCTCCACGGGTTACAGGCATGTTCCACCTAAGTATACATCAGCAACAAAGATTTACCAATTTCAAAATGTGGAATATAGGTACATAAAGTCAGGGAGTGAACCACTCCAGCAACAGACTCCACGGGTTACAGGCATGTTCCACCTAAGTATACATCAGCAACAAAGATTTACCAATTTCAAAATGTGGAATATAGGTACATAAAGTCAGGGAGTGAACCACTCCAGCAACAGTCTCCACGGGTTACAGGCATGCTCGAGCTAGTTATACATCAGCAACAAAGATTTACCAATTTCAAAATGTGGAATATAGGTACATAAAGTCAGGGAGTGAACCACTCCAGCAACAGACTCCACGGGTTACAGGCATGTTCCACCTAAGTATACATCAGCAACAAAGATTTACCAATTTCAAAATGTGGAATATAGGTACATAAAGTCAGGGAGTGAACCACTCCAGCAACAGACTCCACGGGTTACAGGCATGTTCCACCTAAGTATACATCAGCAACAAAGATTTACCAATTTCAAAATGTGGAAATATAGGTACATAAAGTCAGGGAGTGCATCACTCAAGCAACAGACTCTCTTGGTTACTGGCATGTTCTAGCTAGTTATACATCAGCAACAAAGATTTACTAATTTCAAAGTGTGAAAACATAGGTACACAGAATCAGGGAGTGCAACAGACTCTCTGGGTTAGTTATACATCAGCAACAAAGAGTTAAAATTTTCAAAGTGTGATAATATCAGGATGGGTATAGAAAGACAAAGTGCAAACCTCAATTTTTTGTGAAATTTGTTAATCCTGTTGTTTTTCTTAGCTATGTATTTTTTGACAAATACAAAATTCTGTATTATTTTCATAAATCCTGAAATCATGTCAATAACTTACTGATTTAAATTTTATTAGGTGGTACATTATAGTTCAAGCAATTTGAATATATTTCGAGGTGACGGGGTTTTGGCAGACAAGTTCTCTGTGGATTTAAGAATCTTGATCTTCTCCTCCTCCAACTGCAATTTTCGCCTCTGTAAATCAATAATGTTGTCTAATTTGGATGACACATCATCAAAAAATTCCCTCATGGCCTGGAGCTTTTTATTTTCAATTTGTATGATTTCATTTCCAGTCGTTGTCTTCTGTCTGGACACTAGACAAAGTAGACAAAAAGTGTAATTGTATCTTTTTGGAATATTCTTGAAAATTGCAATCCATAAGTTATGAAACAATCAAACCTTTTTCAAAAATGATTTAGTGTACACAAATATTAATGATGTGATAATGATGCCATTCTGAGTTCAATTACATTATTATGAACAAGAAACCGTAGCAGTTATTATAATGCCATCATTCATTATGTATCAAAAGGCAATTTTGAGATACTATTATACAGATGATTATATGAACCTTTTTTCACTTTTTGATTCAATAGGGAGTTGCTGGTTAACTGATGGGGTTGCTGAGGCAGATGCTTCTGTTGTGTTCCGAGGTCCTGCTGTGAACTGACCCGCTGCTGTTGTGGCTCTAGATGTTGATGCTGTCAGTTGTCCTTCCTCTGCAAATATATCAAAATATAAAACCTTCATTAAAAATATTAAATACATATTTGGTGTTTTTATCTTTAACCAAACATTTAGATAAACTGAGTAGCTGTGTAAAATATGCATTGAATTTTTCAAATACCCACTACAATAAATCTGAAACAAAGACAATTACAAAAATGGTTTGGTTACTTGTCAACTTGTCATAAGTTACATGTGGAGCAGGTAGATATCAAATAATTTTCACCTGGTAGATACATCTTAACAAGATCAAGACCTCTTTGCATCAGCGGAGACTGTGGCACATCCAATATTTGAATAATTTCGTCTGAAATGAAAAACATCTTATGTAAAATCAATCAAATCGTTTGGTTTCAAAAATCAAATTTAGCGGGCTCAATCCAGCGTAACACATTAGGTTTATATCCAAACTCAAAAGTCTTCAAATGAACTGTAATTTTTTCAGACTGTTTCATACACATACTCAAACATAATATATTAGTTATTCAAGTTCCTGATTTTAAATGTAACTAGATTGTTTGTACTTACTTTCAAACCCTCCAGTTTCCAGCCCTCCAACAATGCCTTCCACCTGACACTTAGGAATAAGGGAGATGACCTAAAACACACCCAAAAATGTTTTCTGAAAATGAAAAAAGCATTGCATATTTTTTAGTATGTGCCATAGGCTATTCAATAATTAGCCAATTTAAAAATTTACAGTACCTTCTCTTCAACTTGTGACATGGGCGGGGTGCAGGTCCTCCACCCGTTTTCACCAGCTCTCTTTTGAGACATTGCCTTCTTTCTAGTTTGACATCTGCAAAGAAATAAGATTTCAAATTAGAACCATTGTTTGATTGACAATTAAAATATGGGCTATTTCGCTACAATTCATTACATATATCCCACTGGCACAGACACATGATAATTTTATCATTTTTGTGTTGATAGTGCAAAACTATATCTATATTGCATTTACTAAGCCTGTCTGTTTATCAGGTTTGCTTAATAAATAAAGATCCACACTTACTTCAGCTCATTCCATTTTTTCCCTCAGGTCAGCACCGGATCTATGGGCTGAACTTGCAGCATTACCCTGAAAATATCATTCATTACATCTTTATCAAGATGAATATGCCTACTAGTATCCTATGGTCATATTGATTTATATCTATTATCACCATCACATTAAAAAACTACAACTTGTAAATATTGGTCTATAATGAATTTTTTTTTTCTCCATTAAACTTGTAGATGAGTTAGAAATAAAAACTATAACCCGATCTGCCCATCTACTAGTATTTAGTTTGTAAGAAAACGATTAGAAACAAGAATTTTCATTGTGACCCCTAGAACAACTCACCTGTCTGCGATTTTTTCCCATATTCCATTCTTGATTTTGTGTTTAATACTGCTTGAAAAAGCTGCAGATAACACGGAATTGTGTTTCCCTACATCTTCAGTAAGGATTTCGATTTCTTGCGCAGAATAATTACTTTTTCTGACTTTTTTACTCGGAGGCGACGACATTGTTATGATCAAGCGATCGTCTGCCCTATGCAGTCAAGGGACGTAACTCTAAATTGTTGTCTATGTTGCTATGGATAATCCTATCTTCAGCACAGAAGATTACGATTGTAACTTACGATCGCAATTGTAAAATGAGATGAGTTACAACTGTGCTACAATCGCTTTTGTGCAAGAGTTGTAAGAGTTACGATCGCGATTGTAATTTCGATTGCAAATGCTTACAATTGATTGTAGCTACGATCGTTTTTGTGCAAGTGGGCCCAGGATAGGCCATGTGGCGGGACGTCGTGGTCTGATCCCGTGATGACGTAATGTCGAACTGTGTTGGGGTGGATGGTTCGGGCAGTCATCACTGCAGTCTGAAACCTGTGGCGAAGATGGGTCACCCTTATCCATCTGTCCTGTCTTGGCGTTGTTACACGTGGACGTCCAGAACGTGGCCGATCGATGACGTCATTTGTGTTCTGGTAGCGTCTCACCAGTGCAGAAATGGTGTTCCGGTGGCAGTGGAAATGTGCAGCCACTTGAGACATTCCCCCACGGACCATCCCAATGGCCTCATGACGTTGTGCAGACGTGAGCATTGGCATGCTATGCGTTTCAATAGCCGTTTAATTTTTTTAACGATTGCAAGGGCAGGGGTTGAGCTTTCCAAAGTGACAGTATTGTGTGGCATTCATTTGCTCTGTTTGTCTTTCCAGGAATGCACGTGCAACAACGTATTGCACGTCTCAAGGACGAACCCACTGACGTCACGGAACGTGGCACGTGCATGCATGTTGGATACATGTCACTAATCTCTGAGTTTAAATCCTTTTGTGTCTACACAGGTTTAATAAATTTAGATTTTAAATTTTTGTATGCACAGTTTCTTTATGTGCCTAGTATATTTTGGAACCTTGTCATTTTTTCCAGATAAATTTGAGTTAAACGATGATAATGAATTTGTACATTTTGTTGTAGAGGAGAGAGCATTCCATAACTGGGGATATACACATGAGTGTCGAAACATGTATAGAAACGAAATGTTCGTTTGTGCATGAAATACATTAAACTTAAGGAGCCCACGACGCAATGTGCATAGACATCACTGGATAGTGCCTAAGAATTAATCGGCTGGTAAGAGTTCTGCCCGTATTCCCCCTAGATTTTAAAGATATGGAAAAATTTCTTTGAGTGGCATTTTCAGAAGTTGGATATGTCTTTCAGCATGTTCAGATACAATTAAAGAAACATGTTAAAACTCCAAGATATTTTTATGGATTAAACTTCTATTTAATTTCCCTAACGACGTTTCGAGACCATTCCAGGTTAGTTAGGACTATGACGTCGTCACTATGACGTCATAACTGAGTTATGACGTCACAATGCAAGCGACATCACAGTACACTAGGGAGAGTACAGTATAAGTGAGGTTGAAGTCACTTTTATTACCCACGTGGTCAACGTATGGGTAGTTGCATACTAATCTCGTACGTCACACGAGTGTCGTATGGCGTTGACCTGTGTCGTAACGACTTGACCTGAGATTCTAACGATTTGATTGGATAACCGATGACCTCTCAGTTAGGTCACGTTGTGACGGAACTATTTGTTCATTCATAACAAACACGTGAATTCATTCATTCTACAACTTATATGCATTCACACTCCGGCACAGCGATGACTTAACATAACATCACTGCCACAGGCTAATTTGCATATCACGTGACCGGACTTTTCTCTTGTTTGTAATCAAACGCGCATATTCAAAATAAGAAGAGACTGGACTCACGAAAGCTATTCGGCGCTCTCTTCTTAATGTTTTACATTGTTACATATATATTCTTCCACAACTGCGACAGTTAGGTGTATGACAGTACATATTTAGATATCAAACTTGCTGCATCGTTTGCTCTCCGTCGGCTTCGATGACTGCACGTGGAGCCGTACAACCTATGTAAACAAAGGATCGCTACGCAAATCGAAATAGTGTTACATGCTTTTGGATATTTTCTCAGTGAAACTAAACCATTCAATTAAAGATGTTTAGTTAGATGTGTAGATTCGTCAAAAAGAAAAGAGTAAAAGAAATCTGTACATAATATTGAATGGACATTGCAAGATGTGACGAATCGTCACATTTTTCTGGTCTGTGGCAGAGGTTCTATGCTGGCTTGCCGCATGGAACTCTGGGTAGGAGAGTGATATGCATTGTGGGAATGTAAACATTGCGATCGTTGCCGTATCGCTGTTTAATTGTGAGTCGAACTGAGACATTATATGCGTCGAAAAACATAAACGCAAAGTTTCCACCAGTGATGTTAGCCGAGTGAAGCAACTGCAAACCAAGAAACGGCCGGGTGCTACGGAGTAGTATAATGTAGGAGGCTGTACGAGGCGATGACAAATGACATGCATCGTGACGTCGGTTACCAAGGGGGCAGACGAGCAAGGCGTAGTGGCGTCATAACACTGTGACGTCATGCAAAAAGTGTACTACAGAACAACATTCTTCCGCAACCTGTTTATGAAACCGGTTTCGGTTGGAAACCATAAAAATAATCAAAAAATACGCTATTTTGTCAATTTAAAGCATGTAGGACGTTGGTAATAAATAAAATACCACACTCGGTCTCATAACATACGAATTATACGAAACTCGTGACCTTCCCATGGTATCTGACCTCGCTTTCGCTCGGTCAGATACCATAGGAAGGACACTCGTTTCGTATAATTCGTATGTAATGAGACCTCGTGTAGTATTCTCTATATACTGTACTCTCCCTAATGTACTGTGATGTCACTTGCATTGTCAGTTCACCTGATGAAGGGACCTGGAATGGTCTCGAACCGTCGTGAGGGAAATTAATAATTCATAAAAATATCTTGGACATCAATGTACAACTTCTAAATGCCACTTAAAGACATGTTAAAACTCATCTTTATCAGATTAGGAATATATATTCAGGTGATATGATTTGACCAGAATTTAATTTAAGGAGGGATACGGGCGGAAGTCTTTCCATCCTTACATTAAAAACACATTCATAACTCTTTTGCCACCTGAATTATTGCCAAACATTTTGTGAGGTAATATCATATGCATTGCTTACATATGTCGTCAAACTTGTCCATGGTACATCTTGTCCACAATACATACACCAACTTGCCGTGGTAGTTATTGTAGTATATATCATTAGTGGATCACCACTGCAGAAAGTTTATGTCATTAATACGCGTAGCGGATGAAGAGTTCGGAGGCTAACTGACTGCGTTGATGACATTGGTTGCTGACTGACTGACTGACTGACACTGACTGACTGGCTGACTGACTGACTGACTGCCACTGACTGACTGACTGACTGACACTGACTGACTGACTGACTGACTGACTGACTGACTGACTGTCTGACTGACTGACTGACACTGACTGACTGACTGACTGAATGAATGAATGACTGACACTGACTGACTGACTGACTGACACTGACTGAGTGACTGACTGACTGTATTAAAGAGAAGTAATTGTGAATCCGATTCCGCTCCATGATACCTTTTCATAATCCACCCAGTAACTGTAGGGAATATAACCTTCCACCCTTGAATCTGACTTTGTATCTGAGGCCATGTTAGATGTACAACATGTGCTCTTGAGTGAGGGTGTGGGTGACACCTTGATGCCATGCAGCTGTATTTGATACCTGAACCTATGAATTAAACTTATGAAACCAGAACCAGCATTTACTATTTTTCATGGTCCCGCGAGCCGGATAGCTGAATATTTTGAACTTTGTGAACTTTGTGAAATATTGGAATTATGGCCAGTAAAAGAGAGAGAAGGCCACCAACCTATCTTGAGGACTATGTGTGTGAAACTTTGCCTATCCCTAACACTGAGGATGTAAATAAGGACAAGAGTGTTCATACTCGAACATTGGAAGAGGATTTAGGAGCAGTAGGAGGAATCAGTCTTATGTCACAGAAGTCAACTAGAGTGTCAAGGAAATCTCAGTCTTCACATCGGTCTGGAAGTTCAAATGTGAGTAAACACTCTTCAAGCAGTCTTACCACTGTTATAAGCAGTCTATCAGGAAAGCAAACTGCAAAACTTGAGAAATTAAGGAAACGTGCTAAATTAGAGGAGTTGAAACGTAGACAGAGTGAAGATAGACACTTAGATGTTTTGATAGCTAGAGTAGAAGATGAGGCTTTTGAGGCACCAAAGAGGGCAGAGGAAG